CCCCCACTTTTTGAAACGTTCCTACGCCTATGCTTGTGCTTGTGAGCAAATCTTTCCATTACTTTAATAATGTACACACACACACACACACATATATATATATATGTATATATATATATATATATATATATATATATATGACCGATAAGCGTTCCACCAACAGTGAGCGTTTCCGCCATTTTCCACGCTAATATCAAACCCCGTGGCCCAACACCACCCGCGGGTCGGACGGCGACGGGCGGAGGCGGGTCGTCAACTGAGGCAGCATGAGAGACGCCATCACGATGGCCGCCGCTAGGCGCTGACGACAACCTCCGCGACGCAGTCATCTGGAGGACTGAGGAACTGAGGATGAGGTCTACGCCTCAAGAGTTATCCAGCCTCTCCTCCGCCTTCGATGAAGCCGCGAGGAGGCATGTGACACGCTGCTGGGTCGCTCGGCGCGTATCCTGACATCCAAAACGCCGTGACGGTTCCGCAGAGGTCAGGCTTTTGCCGCAAAGCAAGGCTGTAGTATCGCAGGTGAGTTGGAGGGAGGGGGATCATGAAAGTGACAAACCCGCGCCCAGAATACGGCGACAAGCAGGGTAATCCCCTGATTTGGTCCCTGCCTTCTCAAAGCTTGAAGTTGCAGCCCCCCCCCCCTCCCCAGGAGCCTTCACCCCTGTTGTAAAGGTCAGAATGCTTTGAACTGTCTACAGATGACGGCCGTCGTGTTGGCACGTGTTACTGACGTGCCCCAATGGCCTTTCCTGCCCAACTTTCACAATTTCAGTTGGACGGGTCCAGATTGAGGCATGAGGTTCCCTTCAGTCGTCAGCCATGCGCCTGCTACCTCTGATGCTGCTGCTCTGTCTGGCGGTCTTCGCTGTCGAAGGTGGGTGGGAACTGAGTGTCGATGACGGCTAAGCTAATTGAGCAGCAAAGGAGCTGAGAACAAGTAGGAGTACTGTGGTGTATGGCAGTTGTTTAGGGCGCCTACGCGCCAGGCAGGTGGCAGTTGCGGGAGAGAGTGGGCCTTGAGTGGTGGCGCGTGGCGGAGGCGCGACGTGTTCGGACGCCTCGGACGTTATATTATTGCTATTGTGTTATTACCGAGGTATTGAGCAAATACTCACGGAAACACCTGACTTAGTGCTTGGTCGGGCTGTGAGAGCGGACGATACTACAAGTACCCTGGGGATGTGGCGAAGAACCAGTTGGCGTGTTAGTGAGGCCAGGATTCACCAACCAACCACTCTGCCAAATACGCAGAATGCGTTGACGCTTGGAAACTAGGGACCAATGAGTGCAGCTCGAGGAGCCCAGCAACTAGCGGTATACTACGCGCAGCAGGTCACTAGAAGCACACCAGTACACCATAAGTACACCAATGGCACCACTGGTTGTTGGGCAAGCCCAGCGTAGCCATCACCAGCCGCAGCACCAGTACCGCGCGCGGCAGTCGCGATACGCAGCATCCGATGATCAGATAAGGGCATCGCATAACGCGTCCTTCTTTCCAGGCGCCCCTAATCAGGGCTACTGTGGCCTTGGAGGCTCCTGGTGTCCCAGCGGCCAAGTCTGCCGTAGGTGCGGAATCCCGATGCCTGGGCGATGCTGCGTGCCCCTGTGTAGTACTATTGGAAGCGGAGATGGTGTTGTCGCCCATCCATGATGCCCACTGCCGTTGATATCACCGCTATGTTTATTCAGTACGTTCAGATATTAAAGTTTAGATAGGTACGTTATATAGATTTACGTTTGTATAGATATACGTTAAGATGTCACCGCTGCATTGGGCGTCTACTTTGGTCGCTTTATCGCTTCTCGTCACATTTTGACCTGTCACGTGCTCAGAATCTTCGTAAAGGTGGGCTTCGAATTTGCAGTGTCCCGAGGCTAGTCCTCACTCCTATCCCACAGCGTTCGCAAGAACTCATCATATCCTTAATGCGCTTTTTGTGGACCTGCTGATGGTTTCGAGATTCCTCAAGAAAGCTGCTTCACTAGTGTCTTATCGCTTTGGTAGCTTTAGCATCCTTAGACGCCCGCCGCTTCAGTGCGTCGTGGTAAATAACGAGAACCTTGCGCTTGTAGAACGTTCTGACTTAAAATGCTCACTGATGCTCTATGTGTTTAGCATTGAGCAGATCGTGTCAAACGGTTGTCACAGATCATGTCCCCCTTATTCTCTGTGCCTCCTCCACCGCACCGAGGGCGTTAACTGACATGCCGCTCCTCGTATTCCAGCCTTATGCCGTAAGGCAAAAAGGAATGATCCATTGCTGGTCTGCTGATCGCAGCTCTGGCCGTCGCCAGCGTGGGATAAGTCGAGATGTTGAAGATGATGGACAAGTCATGCGATGTTGGTGCCGAAAGCGGAATTCGTCCACCGTTCGGAGAGCTTAGCCAAGTCAAATGTTCTGCCTTTTCGTTACATGCTGAATGGTGCGGGGCGTTTCCTCGCCGCATGTTTTCACACTCCATGCAGGCGAGTGATTTCCAGAAAAATAATCTCCTGAAAGGCTTGAGAAAAGTTGACACGCATCTGGCGACCAGAGGTACACCTCCCTGTGTCGGCACGTGGTCGTGGCCTGCGCGCTGTTAACAGTGCAGATTCAAAACAGGCAATACGAATCAAAATGCGTGTTGTCAAATACAATAGAACCGAACGAGCAGCAACAGTGTACAACGACATTCACGCGTAGGTAGCAACTTTGTCTAAATACACCGCGGATATCTGATATCGTGGAAGAGACTGTTTAACTTAGATTATGTCGAATGTCACGGGAACGCTGTTGGTCTGTAGAACAATGGTGCATTTCGTCTGCATCTGAAAACAGACATCATTTCCGCAAAACACACGATAGAACAGGTCTCCTCTTCCCAAAATCGCTGCACCCTCCAACCACCCACCTCGAGAAGCAACTCAGGTCAAAAACCTTCGCGCATCACCGGGTGGGCAGCGCGCACTTCACGGCCAACACCCGTGTGATTTCACGGTGAGAGCCCATTCGCGCACGTATGACCTTTGGGTGATCACCCCAGGGTCACCCTTGAGTGTGGTTATTGCACTTCCGGCGTCCCATGGCTTTGACACCAACGAAGGTCGCTGTGGATGTTCGCGCCTGCGAGCAGGGCATTTTTGCAGCCCATGCGTCATTTGAGGCGGACTTGGTTGTTGTGGCTAAAAATGGACGTAGCACAATCTTAAGTTTCGCCTGAGCGTCTCCGCTTGCTGAGCCCACGCTCCTCTCTCTTTTTGCCTCAAATCATTCAGTTGACTGGTAGCAATCTTAACAATCTGCAGCTGGAATACCCACTTCATCTTCGATGATCTCGCGTAAAGAAGAAAACCTGGGCTCGTCCCCGCGATATTACCATTGTGATCGCACAAACAGCATCGATGATCTTTTCCGGCTAAACACGGACAGCGTGGAAATGATCGCTATCAAACAAAGAAGAATATACACATACACAGACACCCGCGCACCCACGCAAGCGCAAACTTGTGCACACGAGGCTCTAAGTTATTATCCGTTAGTTGCTTCTGGTGACGCCTCATTCAAAGAGTTATGAAAGCGACCGAGATGCATCCCTCGCTTCTCGAAGTGGAAGTTGGATAGTATCGTGGGTCACCGACCTTAACTGACTTTGCTAACAGGTCTTGCCCACATTCCATTTTTGCCCGTCTTTTGTAATAACATGCCCTTTATTTTTATAGGTTGTCTACTCCAATAATTCCTCAGCTTGCCTGCGTCACTCATATAACTGCGGGCCGCATGTCCACCTTGAAGGCCGTCAAAAGTGATTTTAGAAAAAAATTATCTGAAGAAATTAATTTAAAAAGGTATCAAAGTGACCTTCTGCCATATCATGCTTGCCATGACCCATACCAGCACCAAAAGCATAGCCATGGTGGTTGCGAGGGCATTATTGATCCCAGGTGCATGTTAAGTCGCGTCGCGAGTGGTTCGTTATTCACTGGGCGGGGTGAGAAGGGACGAGTGGGTATGCATATGAACAGCTTCACACATATGCATGTGTGTCCCTACCGGGCAATGCCAAGCCAGATTACTACCACTGTACGCTGCACCACTCTCAAGCTACAGCTATCGGCTCTCTTTGTATGCTAAGCAAACGGCAGGTAATCCATGGGAAAATCTTGGTCAATGAATTCATGCCGCGGCGGCACAGACGTGCTGTATCGATGTGGTTAGCATTCAGAAAATGTGAAATGTGAGAAACCTCGGAGCCATGAACATGGGAAACCTTTAAAGCGTCCAAGATCGCAGCGTCCATTGTTCATATCTTTCAAGATAGCAACATCCAGTGTTCGTAACATCGAAAACGCGCCTAATTCCGTGCGTATTGGAGGACTTAAATACGACACTGACCGGGGTCAACTCTGCCCCCGTCCAATATACGCAATAATTTAAAAGGGCCTTTAGATATTGCTGCAAATTAGTTGAATAGCTGCAACTAGCAAGTTTTACACCCTTGTGCCAAAATACCAATTGTGCGACCATAATGTATTAAGCGCAAATGCCGTAAGAGTGACGTCATGTTGACCTATTCTATCACAAAGCGCGTAGCCAAAAAAACAAATCGACACACAGTCCGAACGAAAGCAACATATTTTACATCTGTGGACGGGAAATAGGACTCAATTAATCCATTATTCATATGCCTTGCAGTTGTGTCGTTTCAATATTGCACATTGAAGTATTGACATTACAAATAACGACAATATGGACAAACAGTACACTCAACACCTTTTTGCCTCACACCGAAAATTTTGCCAAGATGAAAAACGTGTCTTAGATAAGAATATGAAGGATGCTGCACCATGTTTCAGCTAATTATCTGAAACAATAATTGGGTTGTGACTTTAGACGCATCACAGCACATGTTGCCCGCATTCAGATGACGCGGCCGGCGACGGTAGCGGGCGGCGGGATTCAGGTCTGCCGTAGCGGCGCGGTGACGCGGCCCGCGGCGGCGGCGGGCGGCGGGGTTCAGGTCTGCCGTAACGGCGCGGTGACGGGGCGGCAGAAGCCGTTTATCAGTTTCACACGCAAACTGACGATGCATGGATTGCGGCGGGGTTGAAGGGCATCAGGTTGCGTTGTTGGCAGGACTGAACTGTCGTGAGCAATGCGAAAATCGATCTACCGCTTATTTCCCACCAAGGTCATCCATTTGGCCTTGATCTTAGACGGTTTATGAACAAGTACGGTAAGGTGGGGTAAGGTGGGGTAAGGTGGGGTAAGGCGCCCGCCGGGACAAAACGCCCCATCAAGATATCTGGGAACTAAAGAAGTCCCGGGATAACACTTTCCGCTCCGTTAAACAAACAAAATGTGGTCAGCAAGCTGGCAGATGGCGACGAACCTGGTGGATTGTGTTGGAGAGATAAAAGTAAAAACGTGTTTGCGAGTGATTTTTTCTTTTTGGGTGTTTCAGTGCTAAGTTAAGGCGATGGTTTATACCGCACTACAGTTCATTCATGCATATCTAGAGATCATAATTTGAACCCATTGGGTTGAATTCGCGTTGGTCCTCGTTCTTGGCGCCACTTTCTATGCGAATGACCGGTCGGGGTAAAAGGTCACACTAGGTCGTGAAGTAAAAGCCCCATGGGACGTTCTGCCCCATTTATGCCTTTTTTGCCAATTTCCCGTTAAATCGGCTTTGAACGTCTAGTTGACCACAGCTTAATCTGGGTAACTATTTTAAAACTTTTAAGGGACAGAGTGTTGAGGAAATATGATTGCACGAAATCATGACATTGGCAGTTGATTCACCTTTTAAACTTAGAAATGTGGTTAAAGTAAGAGCCACATTGTTGCTTACATTGTAACTGGGCAGCGTGCAATAAAAATGACTTTGTTTCAGGTGTGGTGCGGGCATACAAGAGAAAATCACAGCACGTGAAAAATGGCGAAATCGCCATTAGAAAATCTCTGGATGATCTCAGAAAAGGACTGCGTGTGCGGGAGTTGTCACGCAAATATGGTGTGCCGCTTAGAACATTCCGACGTCATCGCGACGGTAACGTGAGACGTCCAGGAGAGCGGTATCTTGGAAGGTACGACACAGTGTTCCCCTCCAATGTGGAAATGGCTCTCAAAGAGCACATTCTAGAGATGGAAATTCGCCCTTTTGGCTTGACTACCATGGACGTACGGAGGCTGACATTTCAGATGGCTGCACGTATGAAACTCCCGCATCCGTTTCGAGAGGAATCCGCCGAGAAGAAGAATGGCTCTGCGGCTTTCTAAACCGCAACCCTGATATTAGCCCCGAGAGCCGCAAGCCCGATTGGCTTCAAAAAAGACGCATATATATATATATATATATATATATATATATATATATATATATGTACATACAAGAAACCGTGCGTACCATTCACACCAGCGGAGGTGCATGGTGGTTGCCATGGCGAAGTCAGGGACGTTGTCATGGGAAGAGCGTAGTGCTGTTAGAAAGCGCTGACAGCCTAATTCGGACTAAAAAATAATTAAATTGACATCCTTGCGTCTTGAAGATGCTGAAGTGGCGCTACGCAGAGATGCTATCGGACGCGACTGGTCCTGAGGTTTCACTAGAGTATGTGCCCTTCAGATATGCTCTAAAGGTGGGTAAAGGTGGGAGTGTTAAAGGTAACTTCCTTTAACATTCGCCCCGGGGGCCCTCGGAAAATTACGCGCAATGTGGGGGGGGGGGCAGTCCCCACCTTTCTCCTATCATCTTGAAAACGGTGAAGAAAAGTAGCGAAACTTCCATGGTGGGTGGGTAATACGACGAACAAGGTTCTGTGAGAATATTACGACCCTCGAGAGGTCGGGGCGACGGGGTCGGCTGATGTCAAGCACACCTGCCTTTGAATGTTTGGCATGGCTTGGGTTGTCACCCCGTGAACCGCTGCGATTTAGTTTAAATTCCCTGAAATGGAATTAAGCTATGTTGTTGACATGATATACAATGAGTTCAACCACCCTCCACTCATGCACTCACCGATACACTCACCCCCGCTGTAGAGGGGGGGGGAGGGGTGAGTGTATCTCCATTATCCTGCGAATTACCCGACCCACGCCGCGACTGGATTAGGAAAGTCGCGGTGTGGACCGGGAGAGTCGTGATGAGGATCAGAAGAGTCGTGATGTGGAACAGAAGAATCACGGCACGGATCAGAAGACTCGTGACTCAGAAGACTCGTGAAGACTCGTGGATCAGAAGAGCCGTGAAGTGGATCAGAAAAGTCGCAACATGGATCAGAAGAGTCGTGACTTGGATCAGGAGAGTCGCAGTGTGGATCAGTTGCCGTCACTGTCGGAACGGTTAATCCACATAGAACGATTGTCGACCATCTTCGCCGATCTGCAGAATTGTGACATCCCTCGGCTTTGACCATGCCCTCATCCTTGCCGCCGAGTCAGACTCTGGGGTTGGACATTCTGCTTTCGGTGTGCGACGAGCCTGCCATCTGTGACCAATACCGCACGTCAATGCTTCCAGAAAATCCACCAGGGTGAAGAGAGAGAATCCGGTGACCACGCCGAGAAGCCCGCCGATGTTAGCAAGCAATGCACTCAGTGTAAAGGTGACTGCTTCCCGAACCTCATCAGCAGCGAGATTTAGCGTCATGTGCAGCATTGTAAAACAGGGTGGGTTTGCTGTGGTCAACCATCCCTCCCAGGAGCCCGGAACGCACGTCATAGGCGACCTGGCGGCAGGCGGCCGGGCACTCGCAGTCCCTTGTGTGCTGAAGCAGACTGCTGGGGACGTACTGCTCCGCCCCCTCCGGCATGTCCAGCAACGGAGGTGCGGCAGGTACTGGAGGCGGTAGTGGAGCACGCTTCGCTCGTGGGAAGACGGAGCGCTGCCCGGCGGCGGCGGGGGCCTCCGTCCAGGCGTCGCTCGTTGACGTGTTGGATGCGTACTTGAATCGAGGCCGGCTCCACTCGTAGCTGGAAATCACACAGAGCGACTCCCGGAGCTGGTAGAGAAGGATCAGTCTTCCCCGGCGCGACTCCGGCTGCACGAGCCGAGTACAGGCGGGCAGGTGGTCGAGCGGTCCGCGCAGCTCGGGCAGGAACACGCGGGCCGACACCATGTGCGGCAGCCGACAGTCGATGTGCGCCGCCAGCCGCCGCCACAGGCACTCCTTCAGACAGCGGGCTGGCGAGTAGCCGGGCTCGTCGCGGCAGGGCTGCCGGCGCACGCTGACCAGTCGGCGCAGTCTTGCTGTCACGCGAAGGCCGGTCTCGTGGCCGGACCGCAGCTCCCGGGCCGGGGTCACCGGCACCGGCTCGTCGATCCGCGGCGCCGGCAGGTCGCCCACGCTCGGCTCCTCCGGCCCGTGCACGTACAGACGGTAGGCCACCTTGCCGCGATTGCCGGTGAAGAGGGCGGGCACAGGCAGTGTCAGGTGGACCGAGAGTGGGCTGTGGCCGCTCCGGTGCAGCGTCGCGTTCGGCTCGAAAGTCAGACAGCGCATTGGCCGCCACGGCTGCTCTCCTAGATGCAGGTAGAAGCGCCGTCGCCAGACGCCCAACGGCCTCGGCAGGAGTACGTCGCTGATGCCGCCGTGGCCGTTGGCTATATGCGGCTGATCCAGCCCGCCGGGCAGTATCTCCAGCGTGGTCCGGTTGTAGAACTCGGTGACCGAGAGCGAGCCGTTGGCCAGCTGGCGGTACAGGTCGATGGCCAGGCCCTCCTGAAGACGAGAGCCGGGGCAGAGCGTGAGCCGCGGGAACGGCGCCACCCGCCGCACCACCGTCGAGCTGACCGGCTCGGAGCGGAACTCCTGCACCTGCTGCCACACCAGCGTCAGCAGCAGCAGCAGCAGCGCCGTGCGCGCCGTCCAGTGCAGCAGGATGCGACCAGAGCCTCGTCGCGGACCCCCGGCCGGAGCGGCGTCCATGCTGGCGGCTCTTGCGACACTGAAGACAAGGAACCTACCTGGGACGTCCCGTGCCCCCGCTCCTACTTCCTGAGCCCTCCCCCTTCCCCACGCTGCGTCATGCTGGGCAGCATCGATGGACTGCGCACTTGTTGAAGACGACTACTGATAACAAATAACCCGAAGCCTGGTGACCCATGGCTGTTCAAGTTGTCGACGGTCCAGTCGTCTGGTCGGCTATTTGACAAGAACGCTCACAGTTTGACATCGACGGGGCTGGGAGCGGTTGACCCATGCCCCTGTCATGACTTCCACGCGCTGAAAAGTTTCGTGAAGTTGGTGCTTTGTTGGCCACCTTGACCAGCGACAGGGTCTACCCGTTACATGCCCTGGACGCCATTATGCTGGCGCAAGTGACAGTTTGCCTTTACTGGAGTTGCGCTGGGGTAGCGCCGCAGTACCATATGCACATTCAACCATCGTCAATAGCGCACATGTCCAAGCAACTGTTAATGCCCGTCGCAGTTCGCAGGCGTCTTCGTCCGCGAGCCGGCGTCAACACTCGTCATTGCAGAAGATGGATGAGCCGGTCCTTGGCCACTTTTCTCCGTTTGGCTCTCTGTTAACAGCAGGTAGACGGCGATGAAGTCACCGCTTAATGACTCTCCTTCCTGACGACACCGTGTGAACAACTTATTCGATGTCATATCTGACCTCTTTCTAGCTTTGTTTTTTCAGTAACGATCGGTTTGCATGGTCGCGAAATAACATCTGGCAGCCCCTTCTGTAACGTAAGGCAGCGTTTTCATGTGGAGAAGCTTTCTCAATTAATGTGTTACATCGAACAGCAATAATGCTGTTTAGCCAGGGAGCGAAACGAAGGAGAGGACACATGGGAAGCTGCCCGCATTGTCCTCCCCATCCCTCCCCCCCCCCCCCCGACACCCCGGAAAACCGCAATATTAAGTGTTGATGGGGGGTCGCTAGAGTGCTTCAGCTACATCCCAGATCCACAACATCTATGAGCATTAGAACCAAGGAGCAAATCGCGTTTGCCTCTAAAACCCCTCGGAAAATCTGTTGTCACCAGGGCCAGTCTGACCCCAAGCTGACAGATCCGAGAGAAATACGACAGATCACACCTGCGGTTGAATGTCACCTGCCCGGCCGATGCCCGTCCCGGGCGGTCGCCGGAGCTTCAACAGCACACCGTTAAGGCGTCGTATCAAACAACGTAGGCACCGGCACGAGAGCCAAATGTTACTTTTTTGCAATGGCCCAGAACCAGTGGCATCAAACGTGCAGGACTCCAGTCACAGAGCTTGTCGAAAAATGTTCTTGAAACGTGGCCGTAGCTTTCTCGCCACACCCGAATGGGCCACCCGCCTCCGAATAATTTGCCGAAAAGGGTTTTCGTACCAAACACAAAAAAGCACATCGGGCCCGATGGGCGGTCGGGCGGGCGCGGAAAGTTTTCAATTTCCTCCGAACTCAAGAGCATTTCAAAGGCTTTGCGAAACTATCAATACTGGTGATATTACTGGGAAGATTCGAGAATGACTCGAATCTGGCGCACTATTGAAGGCGCACGATATTGCGCACCATTGTCCCTTGCGGAGAGCTGCGTGCTTGCGTGCGGGCAGCTTCAACCATTTCTGGCGATCACCGACAGAAGTACTCTCCTGCTGCGTTCATCGGCTCTATTCATGTTAAGAATACCACAGAAGGATCATTGACAAGTCCTTGGATCTACTGGTGCATGTCAGTGTTACCAATAAATTACGCCAGTAATGCGCTAGAACTGAATTGATACAAAGTTCTTCTTGTGTTGGTATTTTTTTTCTTCTGTTCCAAGAGGAAATTGTAAATGCTCTTGAGTGGTGAGGAAATGAAAAGGGTTTGGCTGCACCCGCGGTCGGGCCCGACGTTTGAGTGTCGCGTAATGGCCGGGTTTTAATGCTATCAAACGGACACTGCCTCACTCTGAGCACGTGATAAGAATTTTTGAAGCGCTGTCGATTTTTGTGCACGACGCACCGGGTGGTCACCACCTTTCAATAACGCGTCGCGGGGGCGATGATTTGAAAGAGACAGGCGCCGGCAGCACAGCCGTGCCAGGATGTGTAATAGCCTGCAGCATGGCCGCCGGCGCTTATTCGTTTGAAGTGACCCATTGATGACGTGTTATCGAATGTGACTTGAAGACCAGCTCGTGGTGCGTAAATTTAGGCATTAAAAATGGCATTGGCAGAAACCGGAGGTGCCGTCTTTTGGAAGTTCTTGTTAAAAGTCCAGTCTAATGGTGTTCCAATGATGGGCCAGCTGTCCGTCATAGTGCCCAAAAAATCCGGCTGTCCGAAAATTTCCAAGTTCAAAATCTTCGTTTGGCAACTTGGCCGGATGGTGAGTGGCAACAACCCGCAACTGGGTTAGAAATGGGCACTGCAGGCTCTCCCGGAGGTTGCATCCATGCCCTTCCTTCCATTCCGTTTATATACACTTTCTAGCTCGTCTCATTGCTACCTGCTAGCGTGCCCTATACTTGTGTACGTTCTAGTATCAAATTATGTTGAAAATGAGCAGCATTAAATGTGTTTAGACATAAACAACTTGGCTACACCACTCGACCACATACGCTGTCAAAATTAATCCACAGATATTCCCCGCGTCCGTTTAACATTCAAATTGGACTTCAGAAAATTTTGAACTTCCAAAAAGCTGGAATGCTGTCGGCGCCCCTAGTAGAAACATTACCGACTGCCAATCGCGCATCAAAAGAGCCAAATGCATCATCACTTGAGAACGTGTATTGACTTCACATCGCACTTCCTCACGGCGAACAAAACGCCGCCTTCATTTGCGCCGAACAGGATGAGCACGCGAAGCACGGCGTGCGAAGACCCCGGCGCATCGCAGCCGGCGCCCGCCCGAACGTAACAAAGTCGGTAACAAAGGCGGGCACGGGCGCGGCCTGACCCGGCCAGCAGCGACTCGGGGTCAAGATCACGGCACGGGCCTGGAACTTTCGGTTGAACGCTACGTCTTCGCGCTCGGTGGAACACGGCGGCTGTTCTGACTGGCGTCTCGGTATCTCCGTCACGGAGATACCGAGACGCCAGTCAGAACACAGCCTCCCGAAAGATGAATGCGTAGCGCGTGTTTGTCTTCCGGAAGGCGAATCCAAGCGCATCATAAACATCACGCGACGCGGCCAGATCACGGGCTGGCATTCCAGGGATGACATCACGTGACCCCAAATTTGACTGATCTCACTTGCGCCGATCGCGGATCGCATTCGACATGAGTTTTGCCCGTGCCAGCGCGATGGAATGCGATGCCAAACCAGGGGACGACTGGAGCCTTTAAGACAACGCTAGCCGACCAAATGGCTGACCACTATCAGAACCTGAAGACAAGAGGTTTGGGTCCTCATTTTCGGCGCTGAGCGCAACGCACGACGTTTTACGCGGCATTCCGCGCCAGCGCCGTCACAGTCCGCGGCTAGCTTCCGAACCTCCCACCGTGAATTACGAGACGCGCGTCCGATCAGCGTGCGGGTTCCGCTTGTAACTCCGGCCTTACAAAAAGAACAGCTCTGACAATAGCCCAAAAGATGCTAGCACAGGGCCATCTGGCGACAGTGTCGGTGGCAGCGCCGGCGGTGCCGCCCCGGCCCTCGCGGACCGCGCATCAACACGGTCCCGCGCGGCACACAGCCGTCGCCGTCATCGTTTTGACATTGGACCACGCGCACTACCGCGCCGGCCGGCCACGCGACGCCGCCACTCCTCACCACCACGCCCCGGTCGCTGTGAGTCGCGTGGGACCCCGGTCGCACTGAGCGAGTCGCGCGGGAGCCCGGTCCCAGTGACTCGCGCGGGAGCCCGGTCCCGGTGGGTCACGGGGTCTCATCTGACGACCGCGAGCGCCCTTTTCCTCGCCCTCCTGCAGTCCGCGCGCGCCGGCAGGCACCTCGCCTCCGACCACCACGCCTTCGGTCATAAACAATGCCCAGCGCTTGCCGCCGTCCCCTGCGCAATACTCTCGCCAGAGGCGGCCCCGTGCGGCACGCCGGTGAGTGGCCGCCGTGGACCTGCGCCTGGCCGCCGCACCGGCTTCGGGGACGAACGCCGACCAATGACGGTTCGAACGCGGCGGCGGCGGCGGCGCCCGAACCGCGATCTCGCGCGGAGAAACGGTTCCGATTTTCCACGACGTCGCGGACGAAGAGCTAGATTCCGCGGCTATGGAGGTCGCCCTACGTCCGTCGGCACCCGACGACCGAGCCCCACCCCTCCCCAAAATCCTCACCGTTAACACTCCACAGCCCACAGCGCCTACCGCAACGGCGGCTCCACGCCCATCCCTCGCGCCGCGCCGCCCCAGCCCGGCGGCCACCGGCCGGCGCCGGCGCCGAGGTCACGCGGCGTCCCCGGCGCGCGGCGCGGCGCCGGCCGTCCGGCGCCGGCGCGTCAGCTCGGCTCGGGCGGCTGCCGGCCATCAGCTGGAGCGCAGCCGCCAGGCGCAGCAGGCGACGGCCAGCGCCGTCACGGCGCAGTGCAGCAGCTTGCGGCGGCCGTCGTCGCGGCGCACCAGCACCACCGGCGAGCCGGAGCTGAGCGAGTGCAGCGGCAGCCTGCGGTAAACGCGGCGCCGTCGGCGTGGCGCGCCCGGCGGTGCAGGGGGTGTCAGGGGTGTTACAGAGGTGTCATGTGCGTAGGGTGATCAGGCTGCTCAGGCTTCTCAGGTGACTGTGAGAAGTGACGCCTGTTTCTGCGCGATGGCGCCTCTCCATTGGAGAGGGGCGATAACACAATCAACTTCAAAACTGACACTTAAAACGCTACGCTCCAAAATGCACGCAAGAACCATTAGAGCTACGATCCGCGAGCCAGAGAACAGCTGTCCACATGATCAATGATATCACAACATCCATTGGAAAAGAAGCCTCTCCCCCTCTCCCCCTGCTCATTTGCGCAGCGCAGTGCTCCGCTGAGCCGCTCCACCCTCCCCCTCGGGCGACCTCGTTCCCCGTGCTCCCCTCGCGCCACTCGCCGGCGCCGCCTCACTTGAGCAGCCGGGCGGCGTCGCGCTCCACCTGGTACTTGCAGCAGGGGTCGAACTGCCAGCTGATGGTGTAGAGGGCGGTGCACACCAGCGAGAGGCCGGCGCACGGCACGCCCACCGCCGGCCGCTCAGTCCAGATCACGCCTGCCGCGTCCAGAGGTCCGGCCGTCACGCGGCGACGCGCAGCCCGTGGAAACGCACGTGGCCATCCGTCGCCTACATTAACAAGCCCGGGGTACCTACACGTTTACAATGGTACTGCATGCAGTACCAATCTGCACTGCACCACTGCCCCAATCAATCTCCGGCGCAAAACGACCGCGGATGCCTGACGCGTCCTTGAGCCCAAAACACAAGAAGCACCAATCAATCCGCGTGTCAATACACATGTACATGCCGCAAACAATAGCGTTGTCGCAAGACCTGAAATCCAAAAGACGGCTCTGGCAGCCAAAAGAGCCGCGAAAATCTAGTCTGCGCCGGCGAAGCTTGCTGTGACGATTGGACCAACTGGTGGACCGATCGGTGCCGACCCAATCATCGCATACATCAGGTATTACATGACAACGGCACAGCATACTTCGAGATCCCAGACCGACCTGGTCTTCAGTGACCACATCACACATCAGCAGCGGGGGCACGTGGACACCGACGGCCGACAGAACACTCCCCGGCGCGCGGTGCCCCCGCGTCCCGTCCCCACGTCTGCTGAGGACGGTGAGGTTAGCAGTGCTCCCCGCCTCGTCCCCATGCCTACCAGGGATAGTGAGCCGAGGAGTGTTCCCCGTCCCGTCCCCGTGTCTACTGAGGACGGTGGGCAGAGCAGTGTTCTCCCTCCCGTCCTGATACCTGACGGGGACGGTGAGCAGCGCTGACAACTCACCGGAAAGAACCGCGCCTAGGCCGGAGAGGACGGCCGTCTTGTGTAGGCAGTTGCCGACGCTGATCCATCTGAAACAAAGCCAGCACACTGAACCACCTGCCGGCTTCACTGGGGCTGAAACCACGAGCCTGATCCGCCTGAAACAAAGCCAGCAGACTGAACCACCTGCCGGCTTCACTGGGGCTGAAACCACGAGCCTGATCGACCTGAAACAAAGCCAGCAGACTTAACCACCTGCCGGCTTCACTGGGGCTGAAACCGCGAGCCTGATCGACCTGAAACAAAGTCAGCAGACTGAACCACCTGCCGGCTCCACTGGAGCTGAAACCGCGAGCCTGCCACGATCCCACCCCAAACATGGCCGCCGCCGCAGCAAAGGCGCCGCGCAAATAAGCCCTCCACCCACAGGGCTAACTGATCTTGTCCTGTCCGCCTGCACCGAACCTGACCGTTCGCAGCTGACTCTCCGTCTGCACAGCTCGCCCGGCGTCTGCGTCGTGACATGAGACCGCGCCAGCCGGCCGTCGCCTCCTACAACGCCATCTTGGCCGGGACGCCCGTGCGCGTCTGCTGTCTGCCCGACCGTACCGCACGCCCCGTTACCGCCGCCGCGTACCGCAGTCGACTATCTGTACACCACCTCCGGACTTTTTGCTCGTTTGCTCGCGCCCGTCCCGACATTCGGTCGGATCGTACCGGTCCGCGTGTACTCGCACGCGCCCAGCCGACACCGTACCTGCCCGTCCGTGCAAGCCTGTCCCATTGTACCCTCTTGACAGGTATCTGTCCGTGCCTGTGCGGTACCTGTCCGTTTGTACGCTACCTGTCCAGCTGCACCTCTCCGCCCGTGCAGTGCCTGTCCAGCTGTACCGTGCCGGAGCCGTACCTGGCCGTCTCATCGCCCAGCCGGCTGGGCTCGATGACGATGGTGCGACAGCCGGCGTCGAGCGCGCGCTCCAGCTCCACCTCGAAGCGCTCCAGGTCCTGGCTGCCCTGGTACAGCTCGCGGATGATGGCCACGTCCTCGGGACGCGGCCCGTCCCTGCCGGCCGCGCCGCCGTCAGAGCTGCCCCGGGACACCGAGGACGGTGGTGCAGGGAGCGCCACTGGCGCGGACAGGCGGGATGCTGGAGTGGAGGGAACGTCTAGCTCGCTTCTGGGAGTGAGAGGAGTCGCGTGCGTTTGAGACAAGTGCCGGCGTTTGGTGGTTGTTGGCAGTGTGCCAAAATGGTCTCAGCAGAGGCGCTGTGAAAACAGAAGCATCCTCACGAAACCCCCAGCAAACACAAAGCAGCAGAAACTTAAATGCATTGATGAGTGAGAGACCACAATTCCATAAAAGAATACAACAGCAAAAACCAAAATAGTTCAAAAGGGGTGTCATTTTTCATTCCAAATAATGAATTTGACAATGGTTGGGGTTTGCATTTCCGTGAAGTCTGAGGGTTCATGCTAGATAGGTGTGTAAGGGGACTGACTGACATTCCATGACAAGCCATGTGAGATTTCATGCAAACTTGACAGGGCCAGCTCAGGATCTCCTATTCCCTGACTTGTGAAGGCTTATGCTTGAAGGTCAGTGAATTATGATTAATAGATGCCTGGATGCTTCAGAGCTAGTCAATTTTTCCAAGACTGCCATCATACAGTCAAGTACCAGATTGCCCTGAACATCACTGGTCAAAAAGTCCTACAGCAACTGGTAAACTCATTCTGCTGCATTCAAGAGTCAAGTAAACAAGGAACAGATACCCGGCACATAACTAAGCCTACCCATTATAAGTCTGCATGCACTAGCTGCTAAGAAAAAAGATTCAAAAGAGATGCTTATCTAAACATCTGTCATGGATGCAAGATAACTGCACACATTGGCATGGGGTGAAACTCAAGTTATCAATGATGACTACTCACCCAATATTCAAGGCATATTCAGCCATAGCAGTGCTAATAGTGAGGGCACAGTGTAGACACCAGGCTGTTTAGGTAGATTGCTTCTTTCTGCACAAAATCTGAAAAAATATATAGACAATGATGAGACAAACTCATGTAGAAAGGCATACTTAAAAGAAGAAAAAAAATTGATAGTAATACAAAACTTCAATAGAATGCAGCCCAGTGCAGATACCAAATATGCTCCATCACATGGCAGGCCACAAAATCAGCTGTCATGCTTCCAGATACAAGGATAAGTACTTAACAAACAACCAGAGCATATATAATATGGTAATCATAAAGGGTTTCAGGAAACAGCATGTTATAGCAATTAGATATCTGTGCATCAAACAAGCCCAGTATAGATCATTAACAGTTAAAGCACACTGCCGACTGCACTGCTGGTAGTATCACACTTTATTTGCAGGCCCATGCCTTCAAGTCATAAATGAAGAAGTTAAATATGTGAACAGGTGAAATAATCTCCAGGTTCCTCCCTTCTATTGCTTTATCTATATGATGCATGGGATGCCCATTGGTCTTGTGACACCATCTTTTACAAGGATTACCTATACTATGCAATATGAAAAATTGCCACCTATAATTCTGCAAAATAGTAGCATTTACAAAGACTTTGGTGAAGACAGGGGGCAGAGGATATGCAATGCTTGATGCATGCAACAGAACTTTGCACTGAGTCATACCATACTAATAGGGCAGACACTTCATTCTCCTTACACACAAAATCAATTGATGGCAATGCCTGTTATTACCCCAAAGGTTGACCACACTGAGGCAAGTTCTCAACCCTTTATGACAAACACAATCTCCTTCAAACTCTGTACTAGACTTGCTTGATGCAATGCCCAATGAAAATATAGGAGTGATTTTGATTTGATGATTTTAATGATATTCAAATAATAACAGAACTATTGTGCTAGGAAGTAGATCTATGAAGAATTCATTCAAGATGCAGCCATTGCTTGACAGTTATGAATCATCAAAAATATTTACTAAAAAACTAAATAGAAGACGCGTCTGCTAACAACCAACGCACGTGTTTTATCCGCAAACTTTCATTTCCTACCAAGATTCAACACAATCCAGCACTCAACCCTATTTACTGGTCGACCCACATCTTTCCTCCCCACAAGTCTAAACTGAAAGTGCAACAGCCGTTAACATCATGATGAGTAACACATCCAAAATCAACCGCGAAACATGAACAAAAACCATGAAAATTGTTAGCGCTACACCCCACCTCACACAATATCGGCCATCCCCCAACAGATTTTCAACCTGAACCGAGGGAAACAAATGGTTGCATGTCCAGCGCAGAACCGCGCCAGTCCACTAGCTGCCTGACATCATATTTTGATGACGTATTAAAAGTTCCAATGTTTTCATCGCAAAAAGGTTTATTTCTGTGGTTCCCTTTTATAGCCTATTTTAACCGACATATAAGTTGAATTTAATGAAAAAAGAAACTTGCTCTTTATCTATTCAGATTTATGTACACATCAACGCACAGATTTACGCTGAGCGTCTGTACCGGCTGACTGCCTCAAATCCTGTCTTACGTTTTCTATCGCGAGCTGCTGCTCTCCAATCACTTGCCTCCGTGTCAAAATCACGCGAGCCTGAGAAGTCAACTAGCTACCAGCCCCGCCGAACTCGCCGAATATGCACCAGGTTCCAGCCTGCGCCGATCAAGGGTGGCGTTCATATGCACTGATGAAAAACTAGTTTGACAGAAGAGCAGCCTACGGTAGACATTTTGAGACAGCTCCTTGGTTCTACATGTGCGAAGTGCTTCGCCCCGTGTGCAGCCAACGCACGTGGATTAGAAGTGGAGAAGGTGGTCGAGAGTGTGGTAATCGTCGACTTATGTCATGTCATTGCTGTTTGGTAGGTATGTTGGCGGGTACCGCTGAGTGCATTAGGTT